TATAAAAAATAAAGAACATGATAAAAACCTAAAATTGTTGGTGTTGATTTAAAAAGCATTACTTTGACTGTTAATCGCTTAGTTAAAAAAATTCATCATTCTCGCATTTGATTATAAGGCACAATTTTATGCCCACGTGATTATTCCATAGAAAAATGCGGCGAGAAAGCCCGACCCGGGCTCACAGCGTTGCGCACATATCCTAACTCGGAAAAATACCTGACAATTATCTGATGCTCACTGCCTTCAACCAAACCGACCGTCCCATCTCGCACATTCCTGCGCATTTCGTCCATTATCCGGCGTTACAAGAAACGACTCCATATCATAATGACGGTGGAGTCGAGTCCACTTCATCAGAGAATTAAATGTACAAATTACCTACACCTGACCTCTCATCACAAAGCGGTTTGCAGCAAAACCAACAGTTTAATCTAGATAATAGCAACGGTTATGCATATCCAACCATTAAACACATTAAAAAAGAAGCAGAAGGTTTAATAAAAATGCTTGCGACGCTTTAAATTCAAGTATTATATTTGTTTAAACATAAGGAAGTTATTCACAAATTTATAATAGATAATTTAATAATATTTATGTAGGCAAAACATTTTATACATATAAAATAGATATATTAGGTCCTTGATTTACATTAAATTTAAAAAAAGTTAATAATTTGCATTTTATTTACGAAGAATATACAAACGTGTTTCTATCAGTATCGATCACGTATCAATTTATATTTTTTTTTTCCAAAACATTAACATATAGTCGTACATATACATATTATTTTACATATGACTATTGCATAATTTGTTCGCGGCGCACAGCATTGTTGAACGGGTAGTACCGGCGGCGGCGCCGCCACGTGTGGACATGCACACGTACAACCGTGTGTGCGCGCACGAGCAAATACTTGCATCTAACTCGCGCGAAACCGGTATTTGCGCCTTCTAGTAAAACTTTACGAGGATATATAGGGTGCTTCAAACCTTATAAGCGTTAAAGACAAAACTCCGAACGCAGCCGCTGATAAATAATCACATGTAGTGCGAACTCTGAGATTGCACTGAAGACTCAGAAGTGAATTATACAAGCAATAAAAAAAAACCAACTTTTACAAATCAATGTCTGTAGACAAAAGATTAAACTTTCTGTTTTTTTATTTTATTTTAGATGGATTTTGTTTATAAATGGGACTTTAACGCTCGATTACTGAAATATTTTTTGTTCAAAATTAAAGTATATAAAAAAATATAACAAAGCAAATATAAAAGGAGATATAAAAAATTAAAAGAAGATATTAAAAAATGTGGCATATTTGATTAAATGCTGATGAAGAAAAGCTCATTTATTTATCCAGAAACCCTATATTTTGTAGGATGTCCTCTTATTGTGGAACACCAAGTATAATCAACAAATGGAGCTTCAATACGTACGTTTCTATGATCATTACACGCCCTTACCGCATAAAAGGGCTCACAAATACACTTACCGGCCATATACGCTTATCCAGAGGGCGTCACTTGCGAAAGTAATCCTTAATCCGTATTGAAATCCGTTGGACAATTCGTCTTTTACATAATCTACCTCCAAGCGAAAAGCACAAAGGCACACATCGCTGTTTTCTTACAACACTCCGAATAAACTATCGCACAAAGGCTTGACCTTCTTGCTGATATCACACAGCATAAAAGTCATTGAGCACCAAGTGTAAGGGATCATCGTCAATGATACTTGGTCCAATGGAATTTAATTTATAACGTGATTATTTATCACAAAATGCATCCCTCGTCGTAAACGTCAGTCTTTTCAGAAAACGGAATTTCCTGGACCCTGATATAAAATTTTGCATAGAATAAATGTTATCCCAGAATTAATCGATTCTTTCAATTTAATAGTCCTAAATTAATTTTTCATTTTCCACGCATTAAAGTATATTTTTCCTTTTTATTAAATAATCTATACAAAAAATAATCCATATCTATTCAGATAACTGCAATAATATGAAATTTGGAACAATTAAATCACTAAAAATTTTTGTACATACAATTATTTTATTTTATTAAAATATATATAATTAATATCAGTTATTAGTAATAAACATATAAAATTTCATTTTCAATAATATTTTTATCAAATACATTAATATAGGTACAAATATTAATATTCATAGTATGAATTATTAATATTTATTAAAATCAGGATTATATACCAAAACTAAAAGCATATATTCCACGCCAAAATATTGTTAAAATTTATTTAATAATTTAAGTATACTTGTTGCTCCATATATGTTGGAAATATAATAACAATTTTTATTGAAACAATATTACTAATATTATAATGTTAGATTTTTTCAATTATCCTCCTGCACTCTTTTTTTCTTTCCTTCTTTTTTTATTCCCCTTTTCTAAAAATGTTTTTTTATATAAATTAAAAGCTTTAATACAACCAAAATTCCAACAAATTATATTTAACACTACTGTTCAGATTCCGTCTGTCCGGTGGAGATTTCAATGCCCGCACGATCAAGTCGATCGCACTAGTCGCCGAACGTTTTTTTAGAATCTGGCTAAAGTATTTTGATTTTTCAAAAATGTTCACTTCTTACGCCTAATAATTTGCGAATATATTTAAAATAAAAATTTTTATTCAACAATAGAATATTTTTTCTAACTCATTTTTTGTGCTACGCGACGCATACGTGTATAATAGAAATCCCGCGCAATCCGTCGACAATGATTCTGATGTGCTGTTTTCTCGAACAACAATTAATACGCGACATACAATTTTTTACATAAACCTTATAACAAATGTAGTTTAATTTTCAAATTTTATTATTATTATTATATTTAGCGACACACAAAGAGCACACAAGAGATTTTAAAATTTGTAATTAGTATTGATTTTCGCCAAAAAACTCTGCTGTATGAAAATATCAGAATTGTTTGAGACTTTTTACTCCTTGGAAAAATTTCAAAACGAGCGACGTTATTCTGGTGCGCGTTTCAAACGTATTGCACATTCCTCCATGATTACAGCAATTATCCTCAGGATTATACAAACAATTCGTTGGGTTTAATGTATCGTGGAAAATTTTCTACGGTTTACATTCATGATTCTTCAGTCTCACCCTCAATCACTTCCAATTAGCGTTTCCATTTTCTCCCTCAAATTCCCGACATTTTCAACACAAAGATCACAGATCACTCGAAGCTATTCCACATGCAGGTATACATACACGTAGGTGCGCGAGCGCGCCACCCCTAATATTCCTTCACTTTTAACAATACACTTGGAATTCGCGACGTATCGACATTTGTTGATACAATTGACTTTTCAGTGCGCACTTTCGTGGACGTGTTCTTTCGATCGGAAGACTCGAAAAGGCGGCCGCACCGAGACTGGTCGCGTCGGGAGAAAGCTGCAACTCGCGAGCGAGTGCCGCGAGTGGTTCTTCGGGAACCCAGTTCAGTACCGTCGCTAGTTGCGTACCAACTCGATAAGACCCAGATGAAGAACGAAAGTTACTAAAAAATTATATAATATAACACAACCTCTATCTAAAGAATCCGATAGGAAACAATAAAAAAAAAAAAACAGATTTAAACTTTATAGAATTTCACTGTAAATTATCGATACAAATATATCCATTAATATTTGTTTCTCTCGTTTTTAACTGTATTTCAGTTAAATGATTAAATGTATATTTAAATACATATATTTTTTTACGTAATTTATAGATTTTATACAATTAACGGAATATAATTAGATTCTATGTTACATCCTAATTATAGATCATAAATTTATTTTAATTCTATCAGAAAGTATATATTTTTTACGTTTATATAAATTATATGTGTAATATAAATGAAATATATTACATTCTATCGTTCAAAGATACTATTTAACATTTAGATAATTTATAGATCATAATTTAGATAAAGGCGATAAAAATTTGTTAATTTTTTTTTTTATTATTAATAATAATTTTTCGATAAATCAAATTTGAATTATTATCCATAAGACAAACTTACATATATTGTTTAGAATAAGTGAATATTTTATTTAGATATGGGTAACTAAAAACTTGTTAGCCGACACTGACCCCTACTACCGGAGCAATGTCACCCCTTCCACCGTAACCCTCGCCATCCCGCTACGACAACCGGACTATCCCGACTACTATGAATCTGTTATGTCTCGACCAACAGCATAACTAATGATGGCACTGGAATCAATGTCCATTCGCACGTGAAGAAAAATTTACGTGGCCTCTTCTTTATGGGAATTAAAATAACTGTGTGACATAATTTACATCGTTATCCATATGTTAAAAAATACATGATTCTATAGATAAAAAATTGTATTTATAATGTAAATGTGTAAATATAGTATAAAGAATATTTATTATTATATAATAATGTTTTTAACATTAAATTTCTTTTATTAAAATGTAGGTATATAAGTATAAGTAACAAAATTGATAATGCCATTTATGAGTTTATATAAAAAAAATCACTTTTTTAATATTTTAATCTGACAAAGTAACATTTAATTACTTGATTAATTCTTTGAGATATTTAATATAATTCTTTCACTAATAAACTGAATATTCAACTTGGAAAAATTTGATATCAAATGAAAATATATCGAGATCGATTTCGAAGAAGTAATAATTAGCTCATGGTGGAAGTTTTCATCATGAATTAGCCGTGAAATTCAGCAAATATCAGAAAAACAATTACGAAGCAATAAAAGTTATTTTAGATATCTCGTTATGTCGTCTAAATGAAGAAAATTTTAAGTGAAAATCAATTTTTGTAATTAAAAAGGAAAATGTTGTACATTATTTCTAATACAAATCTTTATCAATGTTATGAGATAACATAATGGTTTCTTTACAAAACAGCAGATGGGTATGTTAATTAGGTCACCTTGATTTTTAATAATTTGTGTGACATTTAATCCTCATTCTCCCGCTTTCTCGCTTCTTCCTTCCTTCATCTTCCTTCTTCCTTTTCTTTATATTACTAAATAATTTATTAATGTAATTCACACTATAAATATCATAAATATGATTGTATATGTGTGTATATTATTATATTTATGTGTGATATTTATAATGAATAATATACATATAGAAAAAAAATACATGTATTAACAAGTTAATATAAAATTTCAGTTATAAAAAGATCATTAAAACTTCATCAAATTGATTAGTTATTACTTTATTAGAGGTTAATAATTTAAATTATATTAATTTTGTGTGTGTGTGTTGTGTGTGTGTGTGTGCGTGCGTGCGTGCGTATCTACATTTTTAGGCGACAGAAGACACAAACAAGGAATAAATTGCAGTTAAAATGGAAGACAATTAGTTGCTTTATTATGGAAATTTACAAATCATAAGCTTACTTCTCCCAGAGCTATTACTAATTTAAGGCCGAATTACTTTGGAGCACAACGAACAATGTTATAACACTGTGGAAGATGAATGAGTCCCTTGTAATAAAAATCAGTGATATAAACTTGTAAGTCAAGATTGCAAAAATACATTTTTCTAATCGCGCAATCTAATTTTTAAGATCAAGGGTTCGCTTAGAAATGATTGACTTTCTTCCCGATAAAGCAACTTCCTTTTATTCTGCTAGCTTCCTTCTCTCTCTAAAATCTATTTCCTTTTTATCAGATATATATATATTTATATATATGTATGTAATCTTCAATCTTTCTTATTATCATTTTTCTCTATTTTCTATATTGTTCCAGCTATATTTCTGCATTCTTTTTATGTTTATAAAGAGAAATTTAAAACGTGAAATAAACGGAATAAAATAAATTTTATATTATTCCATCTTAGATAGACGTTCAAACTTGAGGAAGATAAAATAAAAATTACAGCTCCAAAAAAACTATTTCAACAATGACACAGCGTCCTTTTAATTCTACTATCAAACAATCACAAATGGCTCAAAAAATCCGCGATAGGGAGATGCGCGGAATTCGGTCGACCAATTTTATCCAATGCTATTCTGATCGTAAAAACAAAGACAAAATACAGAAAATTAAATACATAAATGACATTATACAAGATTTGGAACGTTATGGGCCAGCTGGTTTGATACATATCGCCGTTCTGAGTAGCATAATCGAAAGACCCATCAAAATATGGAATGCTAATGGAAGTTTAAACAAAATAATCAGCAGAAGAAAAACGGGACATCATGTAGACATAGAATATCATGCGACCGAAGGAGTAGGTAAGCTCTTAATTAAATAGTTTCCAAATGAACCTGCAGTTTCCAAGTTTATGATTTCTAAGGTTTTTTATGGTGTATTTCAAAACGGTTTCACCTTTTTAGTCTAGTTTAGAATAAAACTGGAAAGCGGTAGAGAGAAAAATAATATACCTTCATGTCCCGGTACAACTTACGTTAAACTTTGTATCTTAATGCCTCATTCTTCTCACTTAACAACTCGGTCTAAATATAAAATTTTCATCATGGGTTATTTCTGTAACATATCATGCCCGACTTTAACATATTGTGGACGCGTAGATAATTAAATAACTTAACATACTTCACGGTAAAATATATAAACTATTAACTATATCTTATTGTTCACATCCGTCGCTACTCGTAGAAAAAGAAAAATTACATATATGCATAGTTTTTGAAATATATTAAGACCATGTTTACACATCACTTTCTATCTCGGGTGACCAAGTATGTGGTGAACAGATTTTGTAAAGTACCTGCTAGAAAATTTGTCAACAAAGAAGCTAAATATTTGAAATAGGATTTATCGCGTATGTACTGTTGTCAATTTTATATTGGCGGAAATATAGCAAAATTTATCAATAAAATGTAGCAATAAATTAGTAGTAAAGATCAAGGAAATCTGCAACACAGATTCATGTAGATTAACGACGATTATCCGATTTTTTATCGCTAAAATGCCATTCGTATTATATTTGCA